TAATTGTCCAAAGTAAGAGAAAACATTTTTTTATCGATGAACCACTTATGCAAGCATGGAGAAAATACATCAGCTAAATTTAGCCCAATATGCCTCCCTTTACATGCATGAACCTGATAATCCTTTTTTGAACACACCAATTGTCATAAACCCAATGAACAGTGATACACATGTACCCCTTGTTTTGGTTAGAGGTCCATATGTCTATTATTGCACTAAAGTGAGCATTAACATTTTTAAAAAGCTCATACAACCTTTTCCATTCTTCTGAAAATATACCAAGTATATCCTTCCTAACTGTGATACGACTCTTCAAAGGAAAAGTAGGCCAAAGAGATTTTATGAAGTCAACAAAATACTCATTCTCAACAATATTGAAAGGATACTCATGCATGATAATTGCCAAATAAAATTTTTGTAAAGAGATCTCTTGATCATACCTGTATGTTTCAACCGATGTTGTACCGGAACCCTTATCCATTTTGAGTTACTGCTATCCTGGAACCACATTGTGGGTTTTTGTGTGGTTCAAGAACACATAAGTACCATTTCCTGCTATTGCGCCTAGCTAAATAGGCACAATATTTGAACTTGGCCCACTCTTTTTAACCATCTAGCCATTTATCTTAACCACCTTATAAACAATATTGTAGTGTTCCCAAGCTGGCGAGGATCTCTTCTTTGCTTTTTTTGCTATATGTTCATCATTAGTTTCATGGTCTCAATCCCCATCTGCACCATTGTTATCCACATGAACAACAACAATAGTGTTGGTTGCCACTGCCCACAGTTGATGACCTTTCTACCCCTTCAGTTGGAGCTAGTGATGAGGCAACCATGCTAGTTTCAGCAGCTGCTGTTGCTTTAGTACCTCTTTTTCTAGGTGCCATTTTTAGGGTCCTAATGAATGATGAACAATTAAACAAATTATAAGTTGCTATTGACATAATTTCTTAAAGCAAAGCTCATCACTAAATTTCTAAATCCCAAATTTCAAATTAGACTACAAGAACACAATACCTGATTTGGAGCCATGGAGAGTATTGTTGGTATTTCTTAGCGACACTACTAGAAATATAATTCCCAGCAATAGCACTAGAAATAATCCTGGTATATTATGGTTACATATGTGATCCGCAAGTGCACGGATATACCATTGTAGCATTTCACCCGGGAGTATTCCAAGGTGTCGTATTTATTTGATCCCAATGAAAGATATGATAAGAGAGAACTTTACTAACAATTCATATATTACTTATATACATGAAAGTTTATGCAGAGGTTAATTCAGTTCAAAGGGTAGGGTGACACACAGAAGAAAAAACTAAGATACTCTCACTAAAATATAGTCTAAAATAAATGGAGAAAGAATAAGAAAAGTATCATTCCTGTACTTCTAGTATACATACATCTTTAGTCTATACTTGCTATTATACAGTCATGCAACCAATACCCCGTACCTAGTGTCCTCCTGGTGTTTCAAGAGACTACCCCTGGTTGCTGAGTTCCTTACGACAACCTGTCCTGGCCATCCAACCGGGGCTAAATACGGAGGAGTACCCTCCCCAGGAAATTGCACTTAGAATAATATACACATGCAGAGGACACCCATACTGAGCCGTCACCATCAGCGGCCAGCCTCTGAACCACTGTATATTACCCCAATTAATGGTATCTAATAAACTAAGCACCGTGCTTATATTACTAAATACTACTCTACATCCTTGCAACCGACATAGAGCAACCGAATACTCAGACACTAAACCCACACCAATACACCTATCTGGAAAGCTAGTTGCATGGCTATATTGATTCAAGTATGAAGTAAAGTCGGCACTCAAGTAATATGAATGGAATAAAATACCGAAAATGTATAAAGAAGAATATTCTATTAATTCAATATGTCTTACAAAAGAAGAGAGGAAAGCTACTGGAGCCATACCAGCAATCTCCTGAAGACTCGAGGACTATGAAGACTATTCTATTTTCTACTCCACTAGCACTAGAACTACTAAACTAAACTTGAGAGAGCTCTAGATCTTTTTCTTGAGGTGTGTGAGGGAATGAATGAGAGGAGGGGTATTTATAGGTGGAGAGGTGCTCTGGGAGTGTGGAGATGCTCCAAGCATCCTATGAGCATCTTTGCTCTCCTCATGACAAGTGGCATACTCAAGCATCCAAATAGCATATTTCATCTCCTCTTGCTATGTGTCCATGACGATTTCTTCAGATAGAATTAGCTCCAACCGTCATAGGATGCCGGTAGTAACCGCCTGGCCGAAGATGGGTTGGATTGGGCCAACTGGGGGGTCGGCCGAACCCTGGCTGGCTCCCCTGGCCCACAGCCTTCTTCAGGATGCTGACATGTGGGCCCCACTTTATGGTACACCATGTTTTAGCTCAGAATAATTTCTCATTTTATATGTTGTAGCTCAAAACCATGTGAGTCCATCGGCGCAAAATATATTCACATTCTTCACGTTCATTCTCTCCCAACTTTGGTGGTTAATCACCTCTCGACGGCTTCCGATTGATTGTTCGTTTGTTTTCCATCGATTCTCCTCCATTCATGCGTGCTTCTCCTGCATACATGTTAGTAGCATAGCACATAGTGGAAGTAGATATTTTATTTGGGAATTATGCATTGCAAACATAGCTAGTCTTCATATATTGGGTAATAATGACGGTCGAAACTGGTCGATAGCGACCGTCAACAAGTATCACCTATTGCTGTTGGAGGCGATGCGCCAATGCCGGATCGATGATCTGTTTAGGAGGCCGTCGGCTTGTTGTTGTCATGGGAACATGGAGGAGGCGGTGGGGAGCACCGAGGCTGATTGCGTGGGCTTCTGTTTTTTTTATAACTGTTAAAATCTTTTATGATGTCTATTTTTTATCCATATATAAAGTTTTCATAGATGTTTACACATACATAGCAGTCACACATAATGTAGTTCTTGGTCATTCAAACTTACGGTAAAGAATTTCACGCCTTTGCACATATAAACTTTCAGCAATAAAACTATAGCTGAGATCTTTGATAATTACCAAACTAATTACTCTACAAATTTTGATATCTCTTTTTTTTCTTAATGACTCATGAGCATTTAATTTTCTCATGAGTTATTGTGATATCAAATTGGACATCAGCAAATATGAACATGTGGTACATATCCATTTTTCAGGTGACCTCCGATCCATGATTCCCTAGCTTGTTTGTAGCCTATAGAACGGTGTAGTTGAGGCTCATATATGCAAAAAGTTATTGAAATTAATTATGCCATATAAGGGTACAAAATCAACCGAAATATTTATGCCATGATTAAAAAGTATGATTTTTCCAAAATATTGCTCAATAGCATAATTATTTTGATGCTATACTAAATAGCTTCTAAAGTCGATTATATAGTAACAAAGAATATATTTTAGAACACCTATGTAAAAGATTACTCCCTCTGCTATAATAACTTTATTTTGCCCCCACACCGTTTGTTTTCAAATAAGTTTATTTTTGAGTAATCATTGCATTAGAGTTTGTGAAATTAAAGGATAAATATATTGGGAGTAGATAAAAAGAGAGAAATAATTGCATTGGGATTTGATATAGTAAGGGTATTTTAGTCTTTTATGTTTTGTATCGGTATACGTAGGATGGGTGAAAATGGACTTATTTCGGACATAGCGACTATTAGGCTTGCTTGGATTACTCGAGCAAATTTCAAAAAAAATATAGAGTAATTGGATTCTTTCCTTGAGCACGTGTTGTCCTATCAAATATTATTTAACCGGTTTTTTATGCCGCGACTTGGACTATTCATACTTGAATTAATTCTATATCCAATTAGTTATAAATGTTTGAAAAACAATGTATGATGGGGCAACCTGTATTATTGAACTGTTTCATACTTTTATGTTAATTCGCATGACATATGAAAGGGTAGGGATGTTGTCTCTCGATAAAATATTATTTAATATTTGAATTTGTAATTTTTGTTTGGATATTGTAGATTTAATTTAGATATGTATGTTTATGGAATGATATATGATGACTCAATATATGCTGTCAAATTTTTATAGTATTTTATTGCTAGATTAGGAATGAGATTTGTAGCTTGAAAATTTTTGCTGTTTTAGTATATAAAATTATTGATTTTTCTCGATTAATTTAGTAGCTAAATTAAAGGAGGAGGAGAGAGCATGAGCTAGAGAGGAGAGCTACAGAGCAGTGTGCACCGCAAACGCATGCGAGTGGGAGGGGGCAGCGAGTGGTTTTTTACTTTTAAAGTTCTCTACATATAGTTCTAATGGTTAAAACAAATGGGTCCATCGATCTAAGTGAGAGTGCGGTAAGTTTTTTTTCCATTTTTGTTCTCAGAATTTTTAGATCAATTTTCTAATTTATTAGATGCATCTTGTGGTAGGTTAGGAGCACAGTTAAGAATGTTTAATGGACTTTTATTACATAATATATTGATATACACGATGTTTAATTTAATGAATATTTATTATTTGCTAGCTAGAAATTAAGGAGGCCAAAGTGAGCAATGAGAGAGGATTTTTGGTAGATGGTATTTTGTTTTTTTCTATTAAAATAGATCTAATGGTGTAAAATAATGGGCCTATTAAGTGAAAATCGAGGGTAAGATGTTTTGCTTTTTTTAGAATTTCTTGGATTTCTCTAATTTATTAGAGCGCTAAGTGATGTTTTAGAAGCGTTTGTAGAAATTTTAATGAACTTTTATTATATAATAGATAGATAACTTTATCTTTTACCTGTGATCCCTCTTACTAAAATCACATGTGACAGGAAAAAAGGAGAAAATATGTAGTGGAAACTGCAACCTATATGAAAACTTGCAAACTCAATCGTGGACCATTGGATCCAAAATGTGCAGCCTGATGAAGCCTTGCCAGCCCAACCGTCCCCACGTTACATTTTATGAAATGCCCCCCGCACCATGCTGTGTACAATTTCATATACATCCTTTAAATTTCCTCTTTTCTCACGTTGCTACATCTCCACTTCAACACCAAATGGTCTAGATCCAAACCAGATCCATGGAGGAGGGGGGAGGCTGCACGGCGCGTGGAGATTGATAGAGCGACGACGAGCTCGGGCCAGTCGAATAGTTGAGTGAGGAGACACAACGGTGGAGGCAGAGGCGGCTCATGAGCTTGAATCTGGTCTTCCTCTTCCCCATCGATCCTGCGGTGAGCCTCTCTGAAGACCTCCAAATCCCTTTCCTCCTTAGCAGTCAAGGCTGGAGCTGCTGCTGTTCTCTTAATTGCCAAGAGAAATGCTCCGAGAACTGAGTTGTTGTGGCTGCTGCATTGTACTCTCGATGATTTTGTATCTTTAGTTCCTTAGAGCATCACCAACAATATCTGTATATGGTTATCCTGAAATTTGGAGATTTTCGTTCAAAAACCCAGTCCAACAGAATCCCTAGCCAAGCGCCCAATAGTTCAAAAACCGAATTTTTCGTTCTCCACAAGTAGGGAGAGGCGCTCGCTCCCAATCTCCCTCTCTCGTGCCGTCGTGCGAATTCCCACGCGCACGTGAAGTGTTCTCGACAGGGGGTTCATCACGAGGTTGTTCGCCGTCGCATCGAGGTGTCCTACAGGTGCCCACATCTCACGCGCGCGCCGCTGCCTAGAGCTTTCTCGGCGTCGATAGTTCCTGCTCTGGCGGCGGCAGCGGCACCATCTCCACTACAGCCAGGCGAACTTCCATCGGCCCGAGTTGGTTTCTCCTCAAATCGGGATTGGTCTCTCGATGATGGAGATGAGCGAAGGTATCTGCTAGTGCTTGCTAGTTTTGGCGCTGCTAATCTGCTACTACGAATTCTACAGTTGGTACTGAATAATGTTGTTGGTGCCGGTGGTGGTGTTGAAAGTTGATGTTGGTGTTGCTGATGATGTGCTGTTGTTGATGCTACTGACCTGCTGCTAGTTGTGATCTGCTGCTTGTTGCTTGCCATGCTATTGCTAATTGCCATGCTGTTGCCGATCTGAATTTTTTTTTGAACGACGTTTGCTGATCTGAGTTGACGCTACTGATCTGCTATTGTTGAAAATGGTACGATGTTGTTGGTTCTGGTTGGTAATTAGGGACTTTGCTGATGCTGCTACTTGTAGTGGTTCTGCTTGATTGTTTGCAGGATCAGATTTGCTGACGTGCTACTGCGTGGAGAGGGGTGACAGGGAGGTGACCACCAAGTGGTTCCCGCGATCAATGGTCACACGGGCGAGCGTGATAATCTCACAGGAGGGAGAGCCTGAAACAGATTTCAGTTGGTAGTTTTGTAGAGGGACCACTTTTTAGATTTAGGGAGTCAATTTTAGCCAATCTCTTGGAGGGCTCAATATTTTAACACCTTAAATTTTATTTAAGATTCCCATAAACAAAATTTTGGGATACTCTTGGTGATGCTCTTACTGAGTTATTCTAGTACAGTACTGAATTTTAACACCTATCATTATTCTGAATTTTTTTATGCTACTTGTAGAGAAGTAAAGAGCAATACTTTCTAGTATATCTGTTAGTGGGTTTTATTATGACCCACACAACGGGTAATGTACTAATGAGAATGATTTGAACTGAGGAAATTAAATTTATATTAATATTTGGTGCTATCCCTAAATTTATATTAATATTTGGTGCTATCCCAATCTGCAGTCCATTGGAAAAGCTTGAGAGGAGAGCAACATGCAACAGACAATAATCCTGTGGGTCTGGGGTTCAGCACTTCAAAACTGACGACCATTGTGAGAATACATAGGAGGTGCTAACTAAGATGATTGAAGGTGACAATCTAGAGGAGGTGCTGCAGGAATTGGAGGAGATGAAGAACTTCATCAAGACAATGCATAGCACTTATCATGCTATTAGGATTTAAAAAGAAAATTCATATAAGAGTTAGTTTGTAATCAATTTGTCTATATACTGAAATGACAATATTACACAATGTGTAAAATGCCTCTGCTTCTTCCAACTTGACTTGCACTGCTTTTGCATCTCAATGACAGCCCGCGCACGAGCAGAACTCGACGGCAATCCACGACAATGCACGGCAGTGAGAGTTATCGTTCTTCCCTTCCTTAATTCAAAAATGAGCACAAGAACAAGGTTTTGCTGAATTTCAAGTGGACAATGGACACTGCAGAGCAGACTGAAGTGAATATAATCTACCTTATGCACATGACAACAGGAAATCGTGCCTAGGGTGGAAAATGGCATCTCCCTCACCACATACACAGACCACATATATGGACGAGGGTGAACAGATATATACCTTCATGAAAAAAAATTGACATCTGAACATTCAGGGAACTTAATTCTGAAGAAACTCAACATGAATATATTGTTATAGAGACACGAAAAACTTTCATGACCATGGTGTGCAAATGCAGCACACCGGTTTGTGGGAACACAGGTGCAGAAAATTACTAGTTCAAGTAGAAAAATACAGCACACAGAAAATTTATCCAGTTCAAGTATATTTAGGATTTTCCTAGAAAATCATAGGTCCAGATTGTGGCCACAAACAATTGGCAGAGTCAACCTAGTCCATCAATGTATACCGACATGGTCTGATATTCAGATGTCTTCTGCTGACACAATTTAGATCCCACAGAGTTTTGGCAGGTAATAACATTCATAAGTTACAACACTTGTGCACAAATATTAGTTATCCCCTTCAAGGTGTTGTCTAATCAAAATGCAACCTTGCTATTAAATGGCTAAAATCTATTAATAGATCACACACGTGTGCACTGGATGATGGCAGTGGCTCTACTTTGAACAAAAAACTACTCTCAGCAAAAGAATTCTCGCCAGCTGCTCTCAGCAAAAAAAAACCTGCACCCAGCAAACTGCATAGTGAAAAAAATTGTTAAGAAGGACATATATACTTGTGAGCATAGATAAAAAATTGTTAAGGACATATATACTGGTGAGCATAGATACATACAAAGTTTTATTCACACTACGGACCAAACTAAGATAACAAAATGTTCCTGGAACACAATGGTTGTTCTAATATTTTTTTCCTGTCTTCCCATATGTACTCTTAACCATTTCAAGCTGAATATTAGCTGTCCAAAATGTCCTTGTCGCAATATACATTTGTATATGAGCCGAACTTGTCGCAATATATTTAAATATTTTCCATATGTAATTCTTAACCATTCCAAACTGAAAATGCAATCCAAAATGATTGTGCTTCCTACACATCCCGCTGTATATTACATGCCCACTTGCCCACCTCGAATCCTTCCCATATTTTTTTATACTTTGTTCCAAGTTGATAACACTAGGTCCCAAATCATACAGTCAAAAACTTAAAGAGCTATAAATAAGAACCCATGCAAAAATGCAAGGGACCACATCAGCTAACAGGACAATTGTACATTTGCGATTTATATTATTAATTAGACTCACGACGACAATACTAAAAATGTTATTACCTCACAATGGTCCCAACTAATTATATTTCAACATGTGTTCACTACCTACTGTTAGTTAAATATTATATGGCCACCTATTATCTTTTACATGAATTGCTACTTTGTTCCAAGGAAATCTACAGTATGTCCATTAGAACCAGAATGTTCTTGGCACACTATAGACTTTACGATACACCGTTAGTTGAATTTTGGATGACAACACACAATCTTTTACAGAGAAACGCTAACTTCTTCCAGGAAATTGTATGACAACTATTATAAGATGACTGATAGTTAAGGAAGCATGATGTATAGAACCTTGCATCACTGTTGTGGTTCTTTGTTAGGACAGTTGCGCGAATCGTGCAGCACGACTTGTTTGCACTTCTTGCACCTTTGTGGTACTCTCTCTTTTTTCTTTATCTTCTTGTTTTGCTTTTTCTCCTTGTCATTGTGCCCTTTAATTCTCTTTATCCGACCCCTGGAACGAGTGTCATTTGGCGGGTGGATTTCAATTTGACTTGGAATGCTACATCCAAGATATGATTCAAATTCCTCAATTTGGCTAAGCTCTTTTTCAGGAACCATCTCATTTAATTTATCACCAAGCACAACTAGTTCATCCCTCAAAAGTTGCATAGCTGCTGCTGATTGCTTAGCTTGTAGGATAAGCTTCTCCATTTGGTTGCATGCTTCTGAAAGCATTTTTTGCATCACAGGATCATTACTGTTGCTTGTGTTTTCTTCCAACAAGATACCATCTGCATCGAACACATGTGTCTTCTTGCAGTCCTTCCTAAACCTTTCTAATAAATAGTATCTCGGCAGTTCACTTAGCTGGGCACTTCTTAGGACTGGAATTAGATGACGACATGGTATACCATGAGTTTCAAATAGCATACATGTGCACGTTGCAACCATTGTCTGTCTATCATAACGCACAACTCTTGGCTTCCTGGATTCTTCAATGATATCAATGATTTTGACCTAGCCCTCTTGTTGCACATTGTCAATAAGGCAACGGTCCCTGGCAGCTAGCACCTCTTTCTGAATTATGCTAAATACCTCATGTGTGAAGAACTCACTTGCATGCTTCTCTATCACCCATTCTGTCTTCAAATTGCGGATTGTGTGGAGCGTAATGTTATCTTCTTCTAGTTCCTTATGTCTTTGTTCTTCTAGTGCAGCATCAAACCTGAGCCAAAACTCCACCAAAGCAAGCTTCCGCCCAATTAGACGAGAAAAGAATGAATTGGCACTCTCTGACCTTGAGGTGGTCCTTAACAATCCTGACAAAGGTATGTCACTAAAATAAGCTGGCACCCATGAACGCCGTTGATCGAACTTTGTACTGAACCCCAGACCCCAGACCCACATCTCACCATCATTCTAATGCAATATGCAAGATAATGGAGAACATAAAGCACGACGGCAGGCCGGCAGCAGCAACATCAATTCTACGCACGATCCTCCCATCGATGAATAACACAACAGTAACAGCTGCAGACGCCGCCGGTTGCTCCACATCAGTGGGTAGCTCATCATAACCTTACAGAACAGCAGTAATGGAGGGACACCATTACTACCTTTTGTTGGCCAATCGATGAGGGGCCAGGCCCAAGTGGAGGGAAGGACAAGAAGAACAACAAGAAGAGGAAGCTGTAGCTGTCTCTACAAGAACACCGACGGAATACTAACTCTAGTTCATCTGCAGTTGTCAGTGTTGGTGGCATCAAAACCCTAGTTCATCTCAGCCCCCAAATTGTTCAAACCAAGCACATTCCACGGAAGAACATACACGAACTATAGCAGGGATCAAGAAGAGAGAATGACCTTAATTCAGTGGATGCTGGAGGAGCAATCGGCGAATCGAGGCCGCCGTTCGCAGATGCCTCGACGTCACCGGAGCAGCATGGGGGTTGATTCGTGTTGCCGTGAATCACGTGGAAAGGTGGCGCTGCTGCCGACCACCGCCGGTGCCCCACCCCACCCCACCGCCGTGCCGCCGCCGCACCACCCCTCCCCCAACCCCACCGTCGTGCCGCAGCAGAGAGTTGAGTTTGGGGATGGATTTGGGGATGGATCCCTTCTGAATCGGAGAAGATGTGCTGTGGGACAATTTGGGGGCTGAGATGCTAAAGTTTGGAATTAGGCGGGGTGTTTTTTGAACATTTCATTCTGTGGTGACGTGGACATATCTGGAACCTACGTTTTGCATCCAAGTGTGGTTTCTATGTTTGCACTAGAGATAGTGTTTCCATTACATATCTTCTCGGAAAAAAGCTCACCTCTCCTCCCTCTCGCCTCATATCACCGCCGTGCCCTCCAGCTGGTGCCGCCGCTGTTGACCATGCACCCTCGATCTTTCATGTATGCACAATAATATTTTTTAAAACAATTGAAACATGCAAACACCCTATAAGTAATACCCAAACTTCAATGATACTCTATAAAACCACTCAAATATTTGAAATAATTTTAGAAGCATACTTAGACAATTGTCAATAATTTTAGGTCAGTTTTTAGAACGTATGATATGATGTGAAGACATGGAAAACAAACATGAATTTAAACGGTTGAATGGAAATAGTATATATGGATAATATTGTTTACACACAAATTTGGCACCTATGGACGAAATAGGGGAAAATTACCAAAGTTTAGAAAGTGACGGGTTTTCTTCACAGGGCCGGTCAGACCACAGGTGTGTGGGCGGTCTGACCGGCTAGTAGGGCCGGTCTGACCGCAGGTATGTGGGCGGTCAGACCGGCAGGGTCCGTGTCCGAGTCTGTTTTCGTCGGGTCTCGGGTTTTATTGCTCGGGAAGGCATGTTTCGTGTTTTCTTTGGTTTCTATCCCGAGTTGGGCATGGAGAAGGGCCTGTAGAGGGCAAGACCAACCCCTATTTAAGGGACAAGGCCGGTTCATTATAAAACCCCCGAATACAATCTACTTGAATCGTTCTTTTACCATGTTTTTCTATTTTACCCTAGTTTAGTCCATCTTTGTCGGTTTGCGCCGTAAACCGTCCGCCGCCGCTGCGGGAGTGCGACACTTCTTTATAGGTTTGTCTTGAAAACCTTCCGTTTTGCCCACGAGACGGGTAGTTATCCTCTTATCGATCTAAATCGGCCTAGAGGCTGATTTTGATATCCAAATCGGCTCCGTTAGCCGGTTTACCTGTTTTTCTACGAAATCCATCTTGATTTGGCCCTTTGGCTAGATCGAGGTGGTTGGCGACTCCATATCACCGCAAGGCGTTTAGGTGTTACGATCGTGCTTGTTGACTTGTCACAGAAAGTTGCCAACACGATTTTTGGCGATTCCACTGGGGAACGATCTAATCGGCCATATCACGGCCGAATTTCGTTTAATCTAATAATTACTGTTTCGTCGAATCATCGAATTAGTTTCGGCTAAACAGCCGGAATTAACCTACACTGTAATTATTATTGTCGCCGACATTGGTTTTGTCTTCAAGCTTAAGCTTAATTGTTCTGTTTGATCACGGCTAGACGTTAAACCCTGTTCACACAGGGAGCAGCAGCCGGATTAGCAACATTGTTTCCTTTTTGTTCCACACGGCAACAGAAAGATTTGATTGACCAAAGCTTACTGTACACGGGTTAGAAAAGATCAGGCTATTCAAGCCGATCTATTACTGTTCACATTAAAAAAAAAGAGACAAAAACCGATTCAATTTGTATCGGTTACACTGTGAAACTTTAGATTAGTTTCCAAATTTTGCTAAGTCTACTCGGTTGATTACCAAATAAATCAAATACTTTTGCCGAGTACAGTAGCATACAAGGAAAATTTATGACCGTATATTAATTTATTCGGTCAAATATTTTGGCTATGAGCTATATGGCCGAAATTAATCAAGGATTTTCTTCATCAACTATGACAAGCGGGAACGGGTTCAACAATACTACTACACAATACATTAGGACCGATCAAGGCGTCATGAGAGAAAACTTTCACCAAAGGTAACCTCCGATTCGCCCAACCCATACTTTGCTATTCAAAAGGTTAATGATCGTTGTGTAGATTCATATGCTACTTCTAGTTTTGCTCCTATACAATATGCTTATAATGATATGGGGGGGGGGTCAATGGGTGTTTATACAGCCGATTACATAGGAATCGGCTATATGCAAAGTCGAACTGACGGTATGACCAGTCGTGACACCGGTCTAACCGCACCCTATGTCGGTCAGACCATGTCCAACATGGCCGGTCAGACCATGTACTATGCCGGTCAGACCGTGCCCACCATAGCCGGTCAGACCGTACCCTATCCTGGCTAGATCAGGCCTCCTATGGCTAGCCTGACCGCACCACTGACCTCCGGTCAGACCGGGCCATGGGCCGGTCAGACGGGCTATCTATAGTCGGTCAGACCGGTTCCCTAGGAATTTCTCCAGGTTTTCATACCACGACTAGCAGTACTGATTTTAATTATTATTCATCACCTGTTAATACTGTTAGTCATGCTACTCCACATGTCCCTAATACTTACAATGATCCTAATGGAGGATATTCTCACGATACTAGGTATGGCCAATATAACAATATTGTGCCACAACAACCGCTCTTTAGGCCACCAAATCCACCAAGGCCTGAAATCATGGAGGTAAGGAATCGTGCTAGGGAGAACCAAAAGCCGTATTCTGATTTTTATGACGTTGTCCCATATCCTCCTAATTATAAAATTCCTGAATTTACCAAATTTAGTGGTGAGTATAGTAGGACTACATACGAGCATGTAGATCAATTCTTAGCGCAATGTGGTAGGGCTAGTAGTATGAATACATGTAAGTTGCGCTTGTTTTCTTTATCTTTGTCCGGTACTGCTTTGATATGGCTTACTTCTTTACCGGCAAATTCTATTGATACTTGGGCTCAATTAGAACAAAAATTTCATGATTATTTTCACACTAATGAAACTGATCTTAAGTTGTCTGATTTAACATCGGTTAGGCATAAATACAATGAATTTGTTGCTGATTATATTGAAAGGTTAAGAGATGTTAAAAACCGATGTTTCAATTAGAAAATAACTGACAAAGATTTGGCCAACATTGCATATGATGGATTGCTTGATTCTTTTAAAGAGAAATTGAATGGCTAGATATTTCTTGATGTTGATCATGTGTTGCATGAAGCTCTGGCTCAGGAAAGCCGAGTGGATGACAATAGTTTAAATGCCACCTTAGATGATAGTGCAATATCATGTATAGCCGAACCAAGCGATGGTTCGGATCGTGGTAATAATTTGTGCAATGATGCCGTAACGAGTATAGCCGAACCAAATGTTGATTCAGATTGTCTTACTAGTTTGGATGATAACGCAATAACCAATATAGCCGAACCAAGTGTTGGTTCGGATTGTGTTACTAGTTTAGACAATAATGGAATAGTCGAATCAAGTAATGGTTCGGATTGTATTGCTAGCTTACAGAATAATGCCATTGAAGATATAGCCGAACTAAATGATGGTTCGGATTGTATCACATGCGAAAGTGAAATAGCATTGTCACCTAAGACCGAGTCACAAATCGGTCATGTGGATGTTGGAAAAGATGATAACAATGTCTTGCGGGATAGTAGTGAAATAGAATCCAAAGTTGCCATACATACATATCAAAGGCCGTATCCTGAACATGTAGATTCAGTTCCATACCCGCAAAGATTTGAAGTGTCCAACTTCACGAAATTCACAGGTGAGGATGCTATAACAACAATAGAGCATATCGGCCAATTTATTGAACAATGTGGTAAGGCTGGTAGTGATGATTTGCTTAAGTTGAAGTTGTTTCCCCTTTCCTTGTCAAACTTTGCATCTACATGGTATAGTTTACTTGCTCCTAGTTCAATTTCTACATGGTCATGAATGGAGCATGAGTTTCATGATTATTTCAAAGATGCAAGCTTGATGGAGCAAAGACCGATTGATACTTCATCGGTCACTTGTGAAACTATTTCGGTTACATCTATTCCTAAGACCGGAATTGTTAGTGATCCTCTTCCTGTTAGTTCTATTGATGTTGACAAAAAGAAAGGGAAAAGTGTTATTTGGGGATCCTCGGCCCAAGAATAGGATCAAAAATACGAAGGCCGAAGATCATAAAGTTGCAAAGGATGAGTCATCTATGTCACGTCCTGATAAATTCATCCCGAAATAAAAATCATTCGCTAAAAGGAATAATAGAATTAATTAAAATTCGAAAAGAAATTGGCAAACACTAAAATACGTACAAGAAAAATTCAAATGTGGCCCGGAGAATTTTTGTTAAATTCTCCTTGGTCTAAAAGGAGCCCTCAAATTTTACTTGAATTTTCAGAGCACCAGAAATAATTATTAAGCAAAAAAAACAATTATCAAAGTTTATTAAAAAGAAAAACCTAAAAATAATCCTCCTTCCTCCTTTGGGCCAAGTCTGGCCCAAAGTCCTCCCTCTCTCTCTTGGCCCAGCCCAAAGTCTCCCTCTCCTCCCTCTCTTTCCCCTCTCTCTCCCGGGCCTCTCCTCCCCCTCCCGGCCCACTCCCTCCTCCTCCCTCTCTCCCCCGGGCCGCCTCTCCCTCCTCTCTTCCTGGGCCGGCCGCCCGGCCCAAGCCGCCCCCTGCCCGAGCCGCCCCTCCTTCCCGCGTGCACGCGCGTCGCACGCGCGCTGACGCCGCGCGCCCGCGTGGGGCCCACGCGCCAGGTCGTCGTCCTCCTCCCGCCCGGCATCCTCTCTCTCTTCTCTCTCCCGTGAAACCTAGCGTCGTTTCCTCCCCTAAATCCACGCGATTCAAGCCGGCTCTTTCCAAATTAATTGGGGGGTTTTAATCCCCATTGAATCCTCTTCAATTGCCCCCAATTTCCCCCTTGAATCGTGCCCCCAATCGCCGGGAACGCCCGCGCCAACTCCGGCCAACTTCCATGGCCGCCGGCCGCCTTTTCCACCGCCGTTCCGACCTCCCCCATGGCCGGCTCCCTCTCCTCTCCTATAAAATGGAACCCCCTCGCCCCGTTCTCTCGTTTTAGCCCCCTCCCGCGCTCTCCCGTGGCCTCCCCACCTCTCCCCGCCGTCCTCCTCTCT